TTAACCCACGCATTTAAATTTCAATAAATATACGTGTGACTAGATGTTAGGTTGTTGCACAAGACTGATGAGACACAAGCTTAACCAATAATTTATTAGATATAAAATAAATATATAATATTCTATTTATATTAATATATTAGATATAAATATAATTATTATGATACATGAACTTTCCTAATCATCGATAATAAGCATCATAATAAATATCATACAATTACCGATTTGTACATAACATGGTAACCAATTCGTACACTTTATTTGATCCTGGAACCAATTCCGTATTACTATAAGCCATAAGGCTATATCTTTTTAAGTTCGGTTTAGACCGATCGATCTTTATAACACATGAGCCGAGAAATTCCCGTTAGATCAGCCAAGTTTTCTTCTAAAATCATTGAAACGGCGGGGTTCTTGTGGTACTAAAACAATGTATATAGGTACTGGCAGGTGGCAAGTAGCAGCTTAAAGTTTCTGTAGCGCGCATATACGTATAAATGAATGTATTATATGTATAATATAATCAACATCGTTTTATTTCAACATCATTGTATTATTTATATCGATCTATAAATATTTATCCAGTGTGGATCTGGCCTTCGTCACACATCGAATGCCAAAATAGGGGGGCTCGGCACGTGGCCTAGTCAAGCCCACACAGCTCAACAATGCGAAATGCACGTAACGTCAACGATGACGTTTCCCACCCGTCTATACATATAGTGTGTGCCCTATGCGCACGCGAGCCATCCTCATTTGGTAACGTACGTATATACTATATTATATTAGGTATATACTTTTATTTGACGACGACCGTTCAACCGGCGTTGTATGATAATATGTGTACGCGTTTTGTCGGGATAGGCACGCACCGCACACTGTCCTTCCAGCGACGCCCACTCGAAAAGACAATACATCGTCCCCGCGTATACTGATCATTATTATTGTATTGCATGTTACTATTATTATTATTATATATGTCCAATGATAAAGAAGAAAAATTCTACGTACACACACACACACACAATAAAGGGCGTTGTTGCTGTATATTACGTCATATTAAGAGAGATACAACAAACCCAAACGGGATGCATATTCCAAACGACGATGTGATATTTCTCGCGAGGTGCAGGCTCTACTCAGAAGAGGACTACCAAAAACGTATACTACAATTAGTAAAAATTTAAAATACAATTAATGAATATGAAATGACTTAAAATATTCACACATTATTGTTTACTAGTTGTAGACAGTTTACATATAATAAAAGGTCATTATTGGAATTTTTTTTCTCACATTTCTCATAATCAGTATAATATAGTTACTCGATTTAAATTTATTTAAACGCTCTGAGTAATTAATTTTAGGAAGAAAATAATATTGTTCGAAATTCTTATACAAAAATATACATGTATTACCTATATCAAGACATAATTGGCTAAATAGATATATATTTTATATATATTGCTGCAAATGTTCCTGATTAGTAAAAACTATATAATATGAACACTCGCCACTCGGTTAATTTCTAAAATACAAATTCATCAACAACGAAATCTATATACTATATCTAATGTATATTGTTTGATTATAAATATGAAAAAAAGGATCATCTGTTACGTGCTTGTTCGGGTTGACTGACGACCGGAGTCACGTCGCTGTCGTCGTCGACTTCGTTGTCGTTGTCTTTGACTCCAGCCACTATCCGTGTTTGGTGTTTTTTTTCATCGTATATATTATTTTCCTTATTTTTTGACCGTTAATTTTTTCTTCTATGGTCGTCTTCCGTTAATAACAATACTACGTGACGAACACGTATATCCATCCTGTTTCTGTTCTTCTCCTGGTATAGGAATACAACAACGAACAAGACGTGTATACGTATTACATTCTGTGTATATATATATATACACGCCATACTGAGTAACGTATAATAATATTATATTATTATATTTACTATACAGGGTGTGCGCGTTGTCTTAAGCGATATGGCGGGCGCTCGTCTTCTGGGCGAAAGTTTATAAATATTAAACATGATAACAGAGGGTGTACTGTATTTTCATATCACCGGAGGAGTTGCACGAATACACGGTTTATACGTCAGTACGACAATAAAGACACAACGAATACATATTGAACAATGAGTGCAGAGCTGCTCAAATACGATTTTTATATACACGGAATATACAGAGTGGGCTGTGTGCGTTTTCCAAATACATTTACTTTATTTATGCAAACAGACAGGAAAACGGAAAGACGCCATGCGATGCTATTCTGTAAAATACGCTGTGAGAACGAAAAATAAGTGGCGATGATTGTTCGGTAAAACGCATTAAACTATATCCTATTGAATCAACGACAACTCCCTGTAGACGACCAGCAACTATCGGACTGGTTTCGTAATAATAGTATATATATTATATTTTTACTCTTCATGTATGTCCTGCACTGTAGTCCATTTGGTATATTATATTATGTATCTACTCACTACTCGTCATATAAATGTATAATATAATGTTTTACGTAGGTATATCTTAAACTAAAATACGATACATCGATACGCACGACTATCGAACCGTGTATCTACGGCTTACGCCCAGCAGATTGAACGATGTATAGTTGATCATAAAACGTTGTTTTTTTGATTTGAACAAAAACTAATTGAATAAATCTAAAAAAACACCCTGTGGCAAAGACATATAATAATAATAATATAAGTAAGTGAATTATACGTATAGATGAAATATTTAACCGATGTTGATTTGACTGCAGTACAACCAATGACAAATCAATACGGATATATCAGGATATAGAAGTATAGCGTATATTATGTATAGATAATGCAAATAAATAATTATAAATTATACTATTAATGTTTCAAATAATAGGTATTTTATGGTATAAAAATGAAATTCAATAGTTTCGAATTTTTAAAAGTTCTCTTAAATTATTTTATTACATAAAAAATGTATGCAGTTATAAATGATTAAAAACTTTGATTATGTCTGATGACATTTAGGGATCCATAAACAAATGTTACAGTATTTTAGTAATTTTACGGGTAACCAGAATCTGTTGGTATGGCTTGCTATGTTAATATTTTATTTACACAGGTTTTTAACAAAATATTATGGACGTATAATAATATTCATTTAAACTAATTTATTACTCATACTTCTAACAAAAAAGAGGTAGGAATACCATGTTATATACCTATGTTGTTTGAGAAGAAAAAAATAAATTTTTGAATCAAAAAAATCCTAAGGTACTCTTATAATAACATGTGTACATATTATAGTTATGGTATATATAATATTATATGATGTTTTAAACCTCAACAGCACAGTATATATTACCTAAAGAAGAACTATACAGAGAAGTAAAACTATATAATAGCTTTAATAATACTTAAAACAAACAAACTGATTTACAAAACAACATAATTTTTTCATATATTCTAAATAATGAATGATAACAATATCAAAGCTTATCATCACATCTAGTGAAATATTATCAATTTACGAAGCTCAATACTACAGTTTATATCTATAGGTACAAACACTTTAATGATTTATTAAGTTTATTATTTGTTATGTATTTATTTTTAATTATTTTAATATATTACCTGAAGATGGCCCTAGGCTGAAACTAGTAGTTTTTTTATTACAAATTTAACACTTTTGGTGATTGTGAAATCTTATATTTAAATTATTTATTCACTTGTTATTATTATAATTTTTTAATATTTAATCTGTATATAGATACAAAATCGTTGCAATTTGCGATTATATTGTTGAATTAATCAGCACCAACAAAGCGAATATCAACTCAATCAGAATGTTAATCATCATATTATAGCATACAGGTAATGATTATAAATAGAATAACTAAATCCTTACTTATTAATAAATTGTTATTCAATATATATTTACAGTGACCCAATTCTAACCTACTGTACAGAAAAGCTATTAGTACCTATTTGCTTTTTTTTCTAAATATTTGTCATTTTATAACAATTCAACGATTTTGTTGACTTTTAAAATAAATATATTTTTAGCACATACCTTATTATACTTTAAGTAGGTACTTATGAAATTTAAAATAAATATGATGTACGGTTTGTTCTTATGTTCTAGTGTAACATATAACCTAAAAGTCAGTCATATGACAGAATCACATAAATGTTCCCCTTATGTATAGACAGGTAAGCATAACATGTTACAAAAACAATAGGCAGTTTTTGCTAACCACAGTAACACAAAAAAAACCATCAAAGTAGAACTCAGATAAAAGTATTAAGTTATTTAGATTCTTACTACGCTTATCATGTTGTGTAGCAGTCATTAATTTTTACTAGCTCACACACGACATTCATGAACAATGTATGTACATTGCACACTGTTATAGGGGAAAAAATGATAATAAACAAAATTATCTCCGAGTAAAAAAAAAAACAAGTTGTGATCATTACTGCATTATTATGGTAGACCATTATAATTATATACATGTATACACACACTGACCACGACCGACTGTTGTAATAGTTCTCTTCTTATCCCATTCAAACGTAATTATGGTCAAAAACTTTCTGATAAAAAAAGAGAAACCAAAATAATATCATCTATCCCTTAGGTGAAAACATTGACGACTTTCACTATTTCCGATTGACTGGTTTTTGCGATTTGAAAAAATGTCTACCAGGTAAAAAAACCTGATTCGCGAGGGATTAATGGAGCAAAACAATATTCTTTTAAATAAACAAATTCGTTCATCTTATTATTGTAAATGATACACATACATTTAGATTTAGATATTTATATTCTATAGTAGCTGCAAAATCATTTATTAAATTTTCGAGTAACTTGAAATTTTTTGTTGTAGTACGTATACAAATGTCTAAGCGTTTTTTTATGTGTCACAATTATATTCAAATACTATTTTCGGTGTAACATAAGCAAATACACAATAGTTGAAATATAAATATGTTTTAAAATATTTACCTTTGTTCGATTGATGGGGTTGGTAAAGTCTCGCCCAGGTGCAACGAACAAATATCCGCATTTCACAGCCTTCCTCGTAGCCTGAAACAGAAATTACAATGTTATACATTATTATTGATACACCATACAGAAAAGCATTCAATTTTAAATTCATATTTCATTATTACGTAATATGTAAATAGAGATAATAGAGTAAATATTGCCTCGGGAATTGTTTTTAACAAATCAAACCGTAATAAATATAATATCTATGTTTGATATGCCATATCTAATAACGAGATAATACGCTCGTTTCTATACCGTTTATTATTATAATTTATAATCATTGATCATAACTCATTAGTTTTCGAAAATATTTTGGCAAATACAACCATTGACTTATAAAAGTCAACATAACTTCCGTATCCACAAATTCATCATAATATTGTGTATAGTAAGGTCAAAAGGTTATAATTTGCCTACAAGTCAACGACACCGCGGTTGAGGTATAGCATAGTATATATAATATATATATATGTTTATAAGTACTCGTAGGTCTTCTAATTCGTTACTTGTCGTGTGTAAAGGATTACTGAGAATTTTTAATGACTTCTTAGATTTCTCACAGGATTAGTGAAAGAAAAAGCTTAACAAGAAAATATAGGCTTTCAACACGCGTTTTGCTCTAATTTTAATGGCGTTCAACACAATATATTGAAGTTGGAAAATTCAATAAATACACTATCGTCTATGGTATATGATAAATAATAATATGAACTTGCTTTATATATCATATTAAGAGAACAATAGCAAAAATCAACGAAAAAAAATATTATATTATAATATAATATATACCTATAAATGAGACGTAATTTTCTGTCATGATATATACACAGCTACTATTGTTATGTTCGACCCAAACTATCAAGTGTTGTTGTTAACAGCAGAGTAATTAAAAAAACATTTGTTTTATTATTCGCCCAGACGCGCGATGTAATAACTAATAAGCATGTTTCAATATGGTCGCAAAAAAAAAAAATTAAATTACACCTATTCAGTTACACCGTTGTGCATTGTTGGCATGAACCGTGAAACAGTCATGGCGAGTTTTAAAATTCTCGTTTTACATGTATATTTTACATATAACATATATATTATATATGCACAAATAGTGTGAAAAAACAACACGTCCAAATGATACACGCTTTATATTATTTTCATACCGGTCACCGGGTATACGGAATATTATATCATTTATATCGTCAAACCGGCCAAATTCCGAACTTTAAAGTTTTTTAAAGGCATTTAGATTTAGGTCCTCGATATAATTATATATTTATACATATTATAATATTATAGGTGTCTATAATAATACAAAAATTACTTATGAAAAATCCACGCTCAAGTATAAAGTAAATAATTCTCCATTAATAATATTCATGATTTTAACTGTTCACTGAATGATAATTGCTGTTGTATAATATAGTTTCATGATTTATTTATTTGTGTAGGTTCCTAATATTTGTTTTATTAGTAAATTGATATAATATAGATATAAAATTATATCGAAGAATAAATCCTCAAATTCATTTTTTTGAAAAAGTCTTCAAATTAATTGCGCATCAACTCATCTAATACTCTACATTCTTGCACTATGCCACTATCATCAAGTGTATATTATGTATATTACGATATATTATATTATACAGATAGGTATATGTAAATACATTTTGTAAAAAATAAAAATTAACTAACGAAATTATGGTATAAAAATCCGAAAGTGAAACCGCGGCAGTTATTCTGAAAACTCAACAGCCGAACATGTCCTGGGGCGTCTTATATAGCTGTCATAACCTAAAACGTAGGTTCCAAATACGACTCACACGATATTAGCGTTATATTATAATAAACTCGTATGCATGTGATGTTTATTTTAGACCGAAATCGTTTAGTATAGTAGTGCTTTCTGCCACAAAAAAAGTATAGAGAAAATCTCAGTTACTCATATATATTGTAAAATATAAATTATAATATAATAATATTCATACTCGCACGCGTGTGTTGACATTTATTTCTCGTTCGTTTTGTACAAGCCCGTTGCTGTCCGAACATTATTTATTGTACGAACAATATAGAGAAAAAATAAATGACACTATATATAATATATATTATATATTATTAAATACACCACGTCCAGAACTACTCGTATTGCAACACATTTGGCTCTCCTTGTATAAATGTATAGTGTATACCTATTATTATATATGTATATTGAATATATTATATGCATAATTTTATATTTACCCGCTGCTGCTGGTGCCGCGAGTCGAATACTATATCGTTTATTCGATCAACAATTATTCGACATAATTGATTGATAATGAAATAAAAGGGTTTGGCTTCAAAGGTCTATACGACAATGGGAAAAGTTTCGACTATATTATAATATAGTAAATATAATTATAATATATATGTATACTACACTCACAATAATACGTATGCCTCCTAGTAATCTAATATTGACAATATGGATTTCAATGACATTATAGTATGTATATATAATATATATTAAGTTATGAACGGTGAGCACTGCAAGTTCATCAACCTATACACAGTCCTTGAAGTGATACTATGACTTTTATCTAGCTATAAATGTATCAAGTAAATCATATCATAAAAACGCATACTTACCTACCTTTCATAATCAAAATTCTTCATTACGGCTCTAGTAACCAATATAACCTTTATCAGTTTCAAAAGTGTTGGTTTTAATAAGAGTTATAGTTACAACTCATTTTTATTAATATGATTAAAGTTTACTTAAATTCTCATTACACCGTAATATACTTATTTAGATAATAAATAAATTAGGTACCTACTAATAACCTTTTTTTACGATAATAAACTGTTTTTCAATGTCTCATCCAGTCATCCAAATACAATCGATTCAGGATTAATAAATTATTTTTGACGTAGAAAATCAGTTAACGTGTGTTTGTTATATGGTCGTAACTCGCGTAAATCGAATACCCGTCAGGAAGGAATAATAATTTGTATGTACATATAATATTAATAATAATATAATATAAGAAAAGTAGGCACCGAGAGAATACGAGTATACCTACGTAAACAAGTACCAAAATGTACAGTTCACGGAGTAGATGACTGGGCCGGCGGTCGGATCTTCTTTTGGAAGAGACCGTTAATCACGGCGGTTACAGTGCGGCGTGTTCAACGCATGGGCTCTGTTCATATATTATTATATATTTATATACCTAATATAGTGGCGGCGGCCTATGGGTTGTATACGTAATTACTACAAGCACTTTCCTAAGTCCCCCGAGCCTACTCACTATATATATTTTAAAAAACATACACTTCGTCTACAGCCGTCGACGAAGGGAGGTATATTATATACAGTCGGTCTGCAGTATTATTATTTTTACTATCATTATTCCTATTTCCCCTCGGTCCTCCTCTTTCTTATTCACCACACAATCATGATCGCGCAATCGCGTCTAATTGATGTGCCCAATTAATGTAAATCGCCCGATAACCACGAGTTGGAATTATTATTAATGTATAAAAATGTTTTATTATAGCTATATTATGCGCGCATAAACATTGCATAATATATTTATATAATATAATTATATTATATTTCTATATAGGTATAGCTGGTAACAATATATACGACGCGTACTTTGCATACTTCCGAATTTGAACGTATATAAACAACATCGGTTACGGCAACTCGTATGAACCGTAAAGTAGGAAAAATTAAAGCCGCATTACACCGGCCTCGTGTGACAACGGCTGGTCTCACACATCGTGTTAATTATGTCCGACGACCTTGACCTATACAGTAACGCGCGTCAGTCGAACGAGGTGTGATAAGTATGTTTGGCTCTTGTCGATCCTAGTTCCTTCATAGCGGCGGCGAATGTACTAAGATTGAAGATTAATCGTAAAACTACAGGCAATAGCACTATTTAAATTATTTTTATGGGGGTACTTCGTGGATATTCATCATAACATTCTAAGCGACAAGTACGACTCGTTAAGAACACACCATATAGTACGAACATATTGCCAGCCCTCCCCCCCCCCCAAGGAAAATCTATAAACAAACTATACAGATATTTAGCACGTAATTCGCACGAATTTTCAAACCAGTAATGAGAATTCGTGCGAATTACGTGCTAAATATCTGTATAGTTTGTTTATAGATTTTCCTTTGAGGGGGAGGGGACAAAACGTACGTCCATATAGTGCGATACTGCGACATATTAGTGTGATGAATTCAGATTACGATTTTATTAGACAAACTAATTGGTCGTCGTCAAGTTTTTAATAAGAAACGATATCTATATAGTACGATAGCTTTATTATAAAATACAATGTTGCTTACTGTTTAGTGACTGGTATAACTTTATTAAGATCAATAGCTGATAATTAGTATAGTTTCAACAGTATTGGTAAGATTAGTAATTATTAAGTGTTGTTATTGTTCATATAATTATCAATTATCATTTATTACTGTTTCACTACCTATGTATTTAATAAGTTCATCATATTATTTCTTACTCGTCGTATTTTTAATAGCCGTTCGGAGTTTATATTCTAATAAATAAATAAATAAATGTAATATGTTGATTGATAAATAACATCATAATGTAAAATAGTACATACTACCTATTATATAAGTTATATTATATTTTAATATTTTAAATACCTACGTATTCGATTAACTACAGGCCCGACGTTTTTAGTTTAGAATACCAAAAGCACAATGGATAAAACGAATGGCGGATATTCCCCCCCCCGGCTATTTTCGGCGTAGTAGGACATTTCCCCCCCTTTTTTTGTTTTTATTTTTTATTATTTACTTCTGAGTATAAAATTATTATTTTTTAACACATATTTTCGAGCATATATTTAGCTTTTCTTCATATTTATTTTTTTATTTTTGTAAAAACTGTACGTTAACTATAAAATCTTTAATCATAATTTCAATAAAAAAATAATAAATAATATTTAAAACAAGTTAAGTAAAAATATAGTTTTAAATAAAAGTAAAATAGTATAGTATACTAATATTG